AGGGAACTCTGCATCAGTTTGAATGAGGTAGAAACTGTCCCGTTCTGCTCATCACTGGCTCTCCAGCACAGAACCTGACAGGAGTGCGTATTGAATAAATATTTAATAACTTAATTAAAACATTTATTCTGAAAAGTCGAGAGCCATGAATTGTCTTAGAGAACAATGATTTAATTTTGAGAAGTATTTTGGGTTTTGTGGCTACATAGTGTTGTCTTCGGTAACTTCACGGCAACAGTACACAACAACGTAAGGGCAAACAAAAGGGATGTAACAATGGCACTGGGTATTTTAATATATTTTCCTATAAATATTAAAAGAACATAATTTCCTATAAACTGATAATTGTGTGATGCATCATCAATATGGCTAGTGTGTCTTTGCTGCTAATTTAAAACTAGGATCATTTCCATCTAAATAGGAACTGACCGGTTGCAGAGGTTAATGGAAACAACACTCTAATGTAATTTCCTGAAGCCATCAAGATTTTCCTGAAGAGTATGTTCGAATTAAATCGAATTCAAAACATCAGCGTTATCTCAGATTTCCCACCTCCCAGTCAGGATAAAATGATCAGCCTCACAGAAAAGAAGTGCAAGCTTACACTTGCACACCCACAGAGCCTTAATGAGGTGGTCCCAAACTCTCACTGGGGTGGTGTCAGAGAAGGTCAAGTGAGCGAGTCAGAATTTCCATCCCCACCAGCCAGTAACGGCCATTACGGGCCCCCAGCCCCACCGAGTCAGTAGAGATCAGATGGGGAGCCTGGCCCACCCTCCTGGCCCTGCAGGCTAGCTGCACCTGAGTGTCAGTGGACACCAGCGGGGAAACTAGGGTCCCCTTCCCTGCCAAGGAGGTTAACAGAGTGGTTCCTCCGCTCCTGGGCTGTCAGCCTTTACTTGGCTCTACCTGACTGCATCCTCTGCCCAGAGTGATGTGAGAGAAAGCCAAAATAACAAAATGCTCAAATAAAAGTCCAAATCTCAAAGCCCATTAAGAAAAGATCCTGGTTTCAACGGACTACCTCTCACTATAGCACGAACCAGGGAAATCTCAAATGGAATGAGACAAGACTATCAATCAGTACCAACACTACGAGGACAAGAAGGCTAGAGTTTCCTGACAAATGTTCTGAAGCAGCCATGATAAAAATGTTTCCAAGGGCAATGATGAGCATACCGGAAACAAACAGAAATGCCTCAACAAATTCACACACTATACAAAGGAGGAGGACCCAAGGGAACTTTTAGAACGGGGAAAATACCATAGCCCAAATAAAATGATGTGTGTATGGGTTAAACCACGGTGGTGGGGCTACAGAAATCAGTGAGCTGGAAAAAGAACACTATATATAGGGAGGGGTCTTCAAAAAGTTCATGGAAAAGTCAACATAAAGATAATGGAATTTTTCCGTGTTTTCTGAGGACTGCTTGTGTGTGTAAAGTGAAAGAACTAGTTGGTGTTGTACGTAAGTGCTGTTGAGTTGATTATGACCTATAGGGACCCTGTATGGGGTTTTCAAGGAGCAGCTGATGGGTTTGAACTACTGATCTTGTTGTTCACAGTCCAGTAGAGTAACCATTAAAAAATGCTCTGTGAACAGACATATAAAAAATGCTGTAAATGCTGATTCTGACTCATAGCTACTCTATAGGAGAGAGTAACCCAGAGGGGTTCCAAGTCCGCCATCTTGGTGGAATTTTCAGTTGCCTCAAAAGTATGTGAAAGTTGGACAATGAATAAGGAAGACGTTAGAAAAATTGATGCATTTGAATTATGGTGTTCGAGAAGAACATTGTAATTACCATACATGACCAGAAGAACAAACAAATCTGTCTTGGGAGAAGTAGAGCTAGAAGGCTTCTTAGAAGTGAGCAGTTGGATTTCATCTCTTGTACTTTAGACATGTTAGAAGGAACTGGTCCTTGGAGAAGGACATCATGCTTGGAAAAGTGAAGGCTCAGAGAAAAGAGGAAGACCCCTGAAAGATAGACTGACACAGTGACAGCAATAGTAGGCTCAAACACAACAGTGACGGTGACGATGGCGCACGACCGAGCAGTGTTTCTGTTGAGCAGAGGGTCACTGAGTTGGAACCAACTTGACGGCAGCTAGCAGAGACAACACTCTTGATGAAAGCAGACTGCCTCATCTGTGTCCTAACAAGTGGCAGGGAGGCTCAAACTGCTGACCTTTCAGCTAGCAGCTTAGTGCTTAAGCGCTGCCATTTAATTCTAAGAATGCTATCATAACACACAAGAAGGAAGGAAAAACAAAACAGAAAACTGGAAAAACAAAACAAACAGAAACCCCAAAAGAACGCTGCTATGAGAACATTCTCAAGGTACTTCAAATATAAGGAAACAGGCAAATTGACAGAAGTTTGGTAAAAGGTATATACCCAAATGTTAATAAAAAGAAAACACTAATGGCTATATTAATATCAAATAAAAATGTACTTTACAGAAAATAAACTGACTAGAGACAGACAAAGACTGGGTGTAATAAAATGATTCATCCACCAAGAAGACCCAGCAACAATGAGCGTGTATATACTAGAAGTACACAGCTGTAAAATATGCGGAGCCGACACGGGTAGACCTGAACAGAGAAGCAGACACGTTCAGACCATTAGCTGGAGACGTCAACGCTCCTATTTCAATAGCTGATAGAACACGTACACAGAAAACAGACTGGGATTGGCCAACATTGTAGAGTACTCCGCACTGTTAAACACGACAGTAGAGCACGTATTTTGTTCAGGTGCCTCTGGGACATATCCACAACCTGATAGTCAGACCTATTATTAGGTGGGACCCGTCCCTGGAGAAGGCTATCATGCTGGGAAAAGTGAGCAAAAAGGAGGAAGACCCCTAACAAGACGGATTGATACAGTAGCAGCAGGAAGGGGCTCAAGCGTAACAATGATGGTGAGGTTGGTGCAGGACCGGGCAAAGCAGGATGCCCATGGGGCAGACAGCCTCATCGTGCTACCATTGAGGGGCTCTTGGGTTGGACTGCCAACCAGTGTTACAAAACAAACAAAATGCATGCCTATGGCAATGTATCTACAGTCATTTTTGTTAATTTCCAAGTTCAGTAGTCGGAACCTCTAGAGTAATTGTTTACTTGTCTTAACAATAGATGATCCTTTCCAACATTCCCTTTGCTCCCAAACAATGCTGCACAAACTTTAAAGAAATATCTTGGGCCCTTACTCCCAAGGTTAATTTCCGCCTCAATTTGGGAAATACTGTGCAGCTGTTTTCCATAGTGCATATGCATGTGAACCAAATGAGCCAGAGGCCCTGGCTGTGAAGTGGGGTGGGACTGGAGGACAGGGGGGGAGTGGTGGAGGGGCAGAGCAGACCTGCCACAGCCACCACCTTCCCCGCTCCTGCACAGGGGACAGACAGGCTACCTTAGGGGAGATTTGGAAAAACTTTATTCTGTTGGGGTTACTTTTGAAGAGCACTGTTGTTAGGTTGGGAGTCCTGGTGTAGTGCTGTAGGATAAACTAACCACAGGGTGGTTGTGGTTGTTAGGTGCAATCCAGTCAGCACCGACTCAGAAGGAACACTGCCCGGTCCTGGACTAAGCTCACCACAGTTGCCACACTTGAGCCTATTGATACTGCCACTTGGCCAATCAATCCTGCAGGGGTCTTCCTCATCTTCTCTGATCCTCTACCCCACCAAACATAATATTCTTCTCCAGTGACTGGTCCCTCCTGACAATATGTCCCGAGGGTTTTACTCCCACGGGTTTTACTCCAATCGC